CCTTCCTTCCTTTTTTCCTACCTTTATGCTTTTTGTTTTGTTTTGTTTTTACATTTCTGTCATTTTCTACAATAAATTGCTTTAATGATTAAAACTTTGTTTTTGGAATAATTTGAGATTATTCCAAGAGAATAAACCCCTCATTGTGACTTTCAAAGCACATTTAGCAACACTTAATTCCTTTTTTTCTGAGTGTCTACTACATTCTTCTAGGGAATATTCTTTTCAAGGTTTGTTTAATGAGGAGGTAGTTACCTTAAAAGATTGAAATGACATGTGGTAGTTTGTTCTAAGTGACAAGTAAATTGTCTATGGATCATTAATTATTTTGTAAAAGTGTCATTAAATCCTTTTAATTCAGGCTAGTGATAACTTATAAATGAAGTCTGATAAATTTTCTTTCATATTTTCTTTGTGATAACAACTAGCTTTGTAAGCATAGCACAGTATACTACTACTGGACTATGGAGAGGGCTATGTGACTTTACATGAAGTTTCCTCTAATTCCACCGGCAAAAAATTTTCTTATCTCTGCTCCAATATTTTATTCTTATTTCTTGTAAAGGTGGCATTTTCTCTAGTCTTTTTATAAAAGAGCAGCCTTAGCTTCTAAGCAAAAGGAAAGTGGTAATTTGCTCACTTTAAGTTTCAGGAAGGAGTATAATCTATTTTAATTTAGTAAAATATGGTTTTTGATGCTTATGGGGGAAAAAAATCTCAATTACCAAGACTCATCACTAATGTGGAATACCTTAGGTTCTCATGATAATGGATACATAATGATTTTTATAAAACACTTTTAAAGACAGCTTAGTAACTAATATTATACCTTTTTATGTCTATTCCTATTTATGTAATCCACAGGTGAATGCCAGCATAAGGGAAAAAAATGTATTGGTGAAATCATTAAATAAACTGAAAGTTAACCTTATAGTTGAAGTAGACAGGAAAAAATTATGGAAATTACGGTAGTTTTCTGATTAAACATGTTGAAAAATCATATTTTAAAAAACTTTATTTTCTGTCATACCTGTTAAAAGTTGTTTATTTTATTATTCAACATTTCTAGCTAGCTGACTTCAGCTCTTCCCTAAATCTACAGACATCCTAATTTCAAGCCATTATATAATGAAAACATTGGAGGTAATTTCCTTAGGTCTACAGTTCTTAGTTGCCCTTCTTACTGCAAATCTTTACACTGTAGCTCATGATTGTAATTTGCATAAATGAAATTCATATTTATGAGTACAGATCTTGAAGCAACTGACAGGTGCAAGGTTGTCTACCATGCCAATTTATTGTTTGTCATGTCATTTAAAAGAGGCTCTCCATGTTTTAAAGAATACATGCTGTGGTTGAATTGGAATCAAATTCTAAAAGTAGATAAAATCTCATTTTGTAGCTTTCCATTTTTATGCTTTTCTATATAATATGGAAATGTTGGTGGTGGGAATTGGTTGAAGAAGTATTTACTGTCCACTAATAGACTCTCAATATCCATCCCTTTCATTTCTCTTGCTCTTGTGTTTTAGGGCATGCACGAGCTGTTAGCACCTATAGTCTTTATCCTTCACTGTGACCACCAAGCTTTTCTACATGCCAGTGAGTCTGCACAACCCAGGCAAGTTTTTATATGAGCTCCATCTGTTTTTTCAGCCCCCACTATAATCTTTTTTACCTCAAAATCTTTAACCTGAAAGCACTTCTAAGTTTTTTAAGTTTTAAACATTTGGTTGTATTTCATGTGGCTGTTAATTCTACTTAATAGTTCTTTTTTAAAAAAAAAAGATTTATTGATTATACATATTTTGGGGGTTCAGTGTTGACATATGTTGATCAAATCAATATTACTAACATATATATTGTTAT